AACAGATTATGAATCATCTCTCCCAGATCTTATCTTGGTTTTTTTGCCTCATTTGTTTTTTATCATCATCAAATATTTTGAGCATCTTCAGGTGTTAGGGGTTAAATAGTTTTTATGTGGTTGGTCAGTTGGCCAGAGGGTATTTGAGCATCACCTGTGCTCAGCATTTTTTTTTTTTTTTTTTGGTTCATATGTTTTAGCAGTTTGGGACCTCATATGGAATCACAAAAAGGACACATGAGGTAGAGGAAGAGGCCATACCTTCAGGCTTTCGTGCATGTCATGGTGTGGTTAAGTTGGAAACATGGGGTAATCAGCGAAGATTTACTGGAGAAGCTGATAGTGCACAGGACCTTGTCCCAGCAATGACTGCCACTTCCTGGCTGTGTGATCGTGGGTAGGCGGCTTCAGCTCTCTGCGGTTCAGTGTTTTCAACCGTGAATAGAGGATGATGGGACCTTCTTTGCAGGGTAGTAGTAAGGCTTAAGTAAGTCAGTACATATAAAACATTGGTACAGCATACAGCTTCCCAACCATCATGCAGGGCACAAGGGCTTCCCGTGGCGGGCAGACCTGTCGGTTACAGGCACCCGGCTACGTGCACCCCTGTCTGTTACCCCTAAACATGCCTAAAACCCTGTATTTTCCATGAGAGCCGTGATGTGACGAAGCCCAAAGGGCACTACCGATATTGGTTCTCTAGGCCTGGGGGTGTGGGTGTCTTGGCAGATGAATGCATTGGTGCAGCCACTTGAGGCCACCATGAAGAGTCTGTATTTGGTCCATCGACATCAGAGTGCTCTGAGCTTTTATTTGATCTGCTGGCAGCAAAAGTATTTGACACATGAGAGCACAGCTAAGACCAAAATCAACCAGAGTGATTTGTGCCTCTTCTATTATCAACAGTTGGAATAGAATTTGAATCAGCCATGTGAAAAATTATTCTTTAGCGTAAACATGTGGACCAGGGGCTAAATTCCTACTCCCTCCTTCCATCTCTCGGATAAGTTAAAAGCCTTAAACAGCGTGATTTTGTGGAACCGCTGACCCTGTGCTGCTCTGTCTGGCACATGACCAGTGATTTGAAGGTTCTGATCGAATGCACCCAGATAAACAGGAAGCTGGGGGGTCAGTCATCGCGAAGGTGGGGGTGGGCAAGTACGGTTCCTTATAGGGATCTCTGTATCTTTGGGTATGTTTGACAATTCCCATAATTAAGTTATTAAACATTTGTTCAGCTAATGGAAAATCCCTTATATAGGATAAAGGATGAGAGACAATTATGATTAATTCTGTTATTTATATTCTTCCAAAATTTTCTAAACGACGTGGAAGGTCTCTGCTCCAGTCACTGTTTCTTATTGCCTTATTTCTCTCTTTTCTTTCCTCTTGAGAATAGTTTACTGACGGCAATAAATCGTGAGTTAAGGTTCACTGACACTACTTATAACAATGGAAGCAGCAGCGAAGACTTACACACTTACACTTACTATATGACAGACACACTTTCAAGCATCACAACCTGATGAGGCAGGTACTCTATTATTCCCATTTTATGGATAGGGAGACAGAGGCACAGACGGGAACTCATCCAAGTTCACACAGTCAGTAAGTGGCAGAATCAGGAGGCCAACCCAGGCCATCTGGTTCCAACATCCAATGTCTTTGATGGCAGAGGGTCGGACCAAAATTTAGCATTGGCTCTCGTATTTGCCCCAAATCTTCCTTGTGGCTTTGGCTTTGACGGAGGAGCCGCACGCCTGCCTCCACACGCCATTTCTGGCATCCTTGACCTTATGTGTAATTACAAAGGCTGCCACCATAACTCATCGGCTTAATGTCAGGAATTTAAATAAGAATATAATTAGAATTCTGTGTCAGTATTGATAAACCACCTTTCAAAATATGGGCGTTTTAGATGCTCCTTGGAGAAAAAAATCTTCTAGGTGTTCTTTATCTTAAAATTCGGTCAGCTGAAGAATCAATGCACCATGGCAAGAAAAAGATGCTAGAGTAACTGATGTGAGAGAAGTTAATTTTATGTGCAAAAATGACTACACTCAAAAAATGAAAACATAGGGAAATAGGCTGACATGTAATGTGAATAGGGAAAGTGTGTTAGCTAGATAACTTTAAAAAGATCGTTGTGTCTATAAAAACAAAAATAATTGTATAGGGCAGAACAAGAGAGATTAGATTGTTTTTGCAATTCTCATTGTGTCTGGAGTCGACTTGCATTCATGACATTAAGCAAAATCTTGAAGGATTATATTTAACTTCTAGTAAAATACATCTAGGTGAGGAGCCTTTTCAAGAGAAGCCCCACTCGGAAAGTCTCCATGTCTTGTAGGATGAATTACAAGCATAACATCAAAGTTTCTCAAGGAGAACAAGGCTCTAAACCCATGTCTAATATATGAATGATAACTCATCCTCTCTCCAGACATAGCTGAGAATATAAAAAGTGTGACTCAATGAAGAAGTGCTGGAGAGAAGAGAAACATTATGTGCTATTCCATCAGCAACCAAAGGTGAGCACTTTATTTGTTTGTTTGTATTTGAGAAAGAGAGCGAGAGAGCACACACGTGAGTAGGGGAGAGGAAGAAGAGAGAGTCCCAAGAAGACTCCACGCTCAGCGCAGAGCTCAATGTGGGGCTCAATCCCATGAACCCGGGACCATGACCTGTGCTGAAACCAAGAGTCAGAGGCTCAACCGACTGAGCCACCCAGGCGCCCGTGACACCTTTTTGATATTGCAACTGCGCCTACGAGAGAGATACAGTTGACATCCTGAGAGATTTTTCCACACTGTAGTGTTAAACCTTGAAAATGTGACTATCGAGTTTTAAAAGCTCTCTTTCTTGAATATTTAAAATAAAATTTCAGCTGTTCCGTTATATCCTAGAAGCTTATTTTATGAAAGTTATTTACATTAAGTCAAATATTGGTGTTAATAACCGGACCTTCAAGATCTGGCCAAACTGTATTCACGGAATCTTTAGGCACAAAAATTTCTGTAAAACAGGAAAGAAATTTAACATTATCTTAAAAATTATAAAACTTAGTGGAGAATTACAAGACAGAAGTTATAGAAGAAAACATACTCATTCTAATAGGGAACAGGGAGTAACTAAATCCAAAGTAGAAGGGTAAAGAGCATGGGGCCAGGGATGACCACAAGCTGAGTAACAGTTGGCCTTACAAACAATAACAGCTAGTATGTTTGGAGAGTAATCCTATTACCTGTGTATTAATTACATCAGTCAAACATTTATGAAATGTCATACCCAGTAAGAGTTGATAATGGCATACAGACACTGGACAGGGTATAGATTGATCATAGCTTTTTAATTTTAATTTTTAAAATTTTAATTTAATTTTATTTTAGTGAGTAGTTAAGCGGGCCAGAATTGTTTCATTAATAAAGCATTTGACTAAGAGGCACCTTGATTACTTTATCAAGAATGTGAAGTGTTTTTAATGGAAAAATGCAAACATATGACCTCCATAACTATGGAAAAGAAGAAAGACTTTTGAATAAAACTATGCTTCTTGGGGCACCCGGTGGCTCAGTCAGTTAAGCATCCGAATTTGGCTCAGGTCATGATCTCCCCGTTTGTGAGTTCGAGCCCCTCATCAGGCTCTGTGCTGATAGTTCGGGGCCTGGAGCCTGTTTCAGATTCTGTCTCTCCCTCTGCCCTCCCTGGCTCTCCCTGTCTCTCTCTCAAAAATAAATAAACACTTTAAAATTAAAAAAAAAAAAAAAAGCAAAAGAGAACAAGAAATCCTAATGGGACTTTGGGTTACTTGTTGTTGTAGTTATAGATTAATTTGCGCAAGAAATTTTAAAAAAACAACAAAGCAAAAGAAAACAAGAAATCCTAATGGGACTTTGGGTTACTTGTTGTATTTATAGATTAATTTGCGCAAGAAATGACCACTGTATTAGTCTAGTCCGGTTCTGTGCAGGAAGTTGGAGCTCAACTAAACTAGGAAATTTCAGCAGAATTTATTTGCCAAGGCATGGGACGTGCACCTGGGCTAGGTGCCAAGGTGGGGGGCGGGGGGGGGCCGAGGCCACCGCTGGTTCTAAAGGGGCCAGGGGCACCCGACAGGGACAACAGCCGTGTGGAGAAGCCACCTGGCAGTGGTTGTAACCTTTGGTCACTCTTCTGCCGACCTGTCTCCTGAAGGTCCTGCCCACTGGCCAAACCCAACAGAAGCCAGGGGGCAAAGGCTCAGCAAGATGGGGAAGCAAAGGGAACATGGCCAGCCTTGCAACCTCAGGCCATTTGCACATAACATATTTAAAAGTGAGGAGAGAACGTTTAAAAAAAAAAAAAAAGATTTCCATTGTAAGGGAGACTGCGTTCCCAGGATCCCACAACTTAGCCTTGGCCTGGAGGCTCTCCAGGGGCTCTGAGAGCCCTTTTCTCTCCCTAATCATGTCTACCTTCCCCGCTCAGGGTGGCCAACTTTGACACAGGCAAACGCAGTACAGCCAGTTAAATGTGAATCTCAGGTAAACTATGCAGGCTCCTTGGGAGAAGAATAGTCTTAGCAATACTTTATCTGGCGGTCCTGTCCCTCCTGGACTGGGCTTGTCAGAGCAGGTACATGGCCCCTCATCCCGGGACAGAATCCAGTACATACTGGGCCCTCGGATGAATGGAATCTTGAACAAAGTTCGAAAGCCACAAGGTTGGGCCACTGGTCATTTAATTTAGTTCCAGTCAAAAACAGGGGGAGGGGGTATTTTATTTTATTTTATTTTATTTATTTATTTTTTTAATTTATTTCTAGGAGAGAGAGAGACAGCGTGAGCAGGGGAGGGTCAGAGAGAGAGGGAGTCACAGACTGAAACAGTCTCCAGGCTCTGAGCTGGCAGTCAGCACAGAGCCCGACGCGGGGCTCGAACCCACGAACCGCGAGATCATGACCTAAGCGAAAGTCGGACGCTTAACCGACTAAGCCACCCAGGCGCCCCGTGGGGAGGGGGTATTTTAAAGCAGCATTTGAATTTTTCTTTGGCAGTCCAGGGCGACGATGGGAGAGGGCTGTGAGGGTGGAAGCCATCTCCCCAGGAAGACTGAAGCCACTGGGGACCTGACCCTGCTCCCCGCAGCTCCCATGGGTGCTCCCTGCAGTGAGCCCGTCTGACTCCCCGAAGTGGCCTTTGTCTGCGGGTCACCTGTGTCCTGCACGGTTTCAGTGCCAGGGCTCCCTGGGGCCGCGCAAGGGTTTAGACGGCTCCAGCAGTGCCCCAGATACATTTGTTGGATTATTTCAGCAGAAAGCCAGGAGGAGGGCGGGTAGTCAATAGGTAGGTAATTCTGGACGCGTCTCTCACCTGCTTCCTTAAAGACCACAACTGTGGATGACTAGGGCCTCTTCCACCAAGCCCACGTGACAGAAGTCTGGGCCTGAGAATCTCTGAGATCCCTTCTGATACTATCTTTGTAGAGAGAGAGCACGGGGCTCGCCGCCCGGTGGCTTTGAATATAGCATTTGATGAGCCTAAATCATCATTCGAACACCCTTCTACGGCCAAGACACTGTTCCTTCCTCTGGACCCGTGAATAGCCGCTATATGCTCGGATTTCAAAAACAGAGAGTTTGGGAATTAAGGAGAAAAATGCATCACACCTGGGCAGACACCTCAGAGCAGACGGTCCACAGACACCAAAGTCCCGCCGTGCTTGGCTCCCGTGGAAAAGCCAAAACTTCGTTCAGAGAATTATAACGAACCGGGGACCCTCTCCCATGAGACCTGGACAAGAGGAAATTAGTTAAAATCACAACAGGAAGTTTACATTATAGTGAAAAATAAAAAAAGAATCCATTCACAGGAAATGGTCCTTGATATCATTGGCTCTGGGAGGACATGCATGTTTTGGCACCTGCCCCCCCAGCCCCCCGGTGACATAGAGACCCTAGCGAGTCCATCTCATGTGGGCTCAAGCCACCAAGCTTTAAAGTCCGAAGAGATCAAAACCTCTTTGAACTCTGTTTGTGAAGCAACCTCTCTGATGAAACATGACGACAGGTACCTAAACCTTTGCCTGAGCAAACTTGGCTGAGGCACCCGCCTGGTGCCGCTTCTCGAAAAGTCTCCTTTGGCATTTATGAGGCATTACATCATGGTCTCTTTTATGAGCTGAAATGATGAAATATCAAGAACAAGGAATTAAATAGATGGGCCTGGGTTGGTGAGACATTTAGCCAGATGACTTGACTTCCGATGGTGACAGAAGTGGGCTTACCCTTCCTTGTTTGGACAGTGACTGAGCCATTAGAGTTGTTTTTGAAGCAAACCAGAAATAGAATCAATTGCTGTTTGTGGTGATACAAAAAATATAGGTTTTGGGCTGGGAAACGAGACATCTAAGAGGCAGCAGCCGATTTGGGAGTGTGTTTTAAGTTGGGCGAAGCTTTGGAACATTCACAGAAAGAAATGTATATCCTAAGAGCCATGTCATAAGTTTTTCAATCCTTTCCATCAGGGACATGAAAATACCTACCTGCTCAAAAACCAGACTTCAGTTCCCTGGTGGGACAGTTTTTTGGAAGAGCCCCATGAGTGACCCTGAAGGCTGTTGCCTCTGACATTGGGGCACCCGGAGGAGGGACCCCAAACAGCCCCAGGGTCCTGATCATGTCCTTTATCGTCTTAAGCTATTATCCCAAGTATGGAAGATGAGCATGAGAATGTCATTTGGAATAACTGAATTACTCAGAAATAAGGGAAAACCCTTTAATGCATTAGGCGTCTGTTATAGCCCCACTTACCAGGCATCCAGCCACACGCAAGGCACCACAGAGGGGACAGTCAGTGACGAGGTAGGACCGGAGCCTGCTTCCAAGGGCTTTTGATAAAGCTGGAGGTTGAAACAAACACTTGTGAAAAACTCAGAGACGGGAGAGGAGTGGATTGCAGTAGATGTATTCTTGGTTTACGTACGGGAGGGCAGCGATGTTACGGGGACGTGGGGCTGGCCGCACATGTCGCAGGATGGCAGGTGCACGGGCTGGGGGGCCCGTGGCCAGGCGGGAGGGCCCCTGGAGCCATCCCCGCGGAGGTTCTGGGCGCTGGGACAGGAGGGAGATGGAGAGGAGCAGGTCAGAGGAAGACCTGGCTGCAGCTTGGAGGAAGGGAAGAAGAGAGGGAGCCGGAGCCTGGGGGGTCGTGCTGCCCCCACCCCGGGAAAGTAGGGTCACGGGGAGGGAGGGGAGAGGTGACTGGGGTTGGGAGTTGGAGTTAAGAGTGAGGCCACCCAAGGGATGTCCGTGCCAAGCAATCCTGCGCTCGGGTTGGCCTGTTGACCCAGGTGAAGAGGAGGGTTGGGGAGCCATGCTCTGGAAATCAGAAGATGAAGTCCGGAGAAGGAAGAGCCCTAAGGACCCCGCTTTCTCCTTCCTCTCTCTGAGCCTCCTTCCCTCCCTTCCCCCCCTCCTCCCTCCTCCTCCCCCTCCTCTCTTCCTTTCCTCTGTCCATCCCTCTCTCTGCCTCTGTCTCTCTATTTTTATCCTTTCTCCTCCCACCCCCGCCCCCTTCCTGTAGGCAATCCCTCCAACGTATTTGATGGGGATTGTTTGGCTTTTATAATTTGCTGTACTGCTGTTTCAGCTCCTATATTTTTGGTAACTTCGTGTTTTAGAATAACTTCAAATTTGCTGAAAAGTTGCAAGAAGCGCATGAGGCCCTCCCATATACCTTTTACCCAGATTCATGCATTCACACTTGGCCTGTTTGCTGTATCATCGTCTGTCTCTCTTTCCAGCTCTCTCCACTCACACACCCACACATACACACACACGTACACACGCGCACACACACGCACGTGCATATTGTCTCTGAACCTTCTGAGAGTCGGTAGGAGGCATTGGGCCCCGTATACTTCAGCGTGTATTTCCTAATAACTAAAACATGCTTGTGCACAGGCACAACACGATGACCAGAATCAGGAAACTTCACATGTACGGAAAGCGATTATCCAATCCACAGTCCGTATTCAAATTTCATCCACTGTCCCAGTATTGTCCCTTGTAGCTTCTCGTGTCCGGGACCGAATCGAGGATGGCGGACAGCCCTCGGTCCCCTCACTCACGGCTCTGCCACGCACACCTCGCTCGCCCGGGCCTCCTTCTGTCTCACGGTCACCTTCCCACCGCCCCTCCTGCTCTGGGCTGGGGCCCTTCTCACAGTGCTTCCCTCGCTAACCCCCTCGGGCCACCTCTTTGTCCACACCCCGCTTCGCTGCCCTTCTCTCTGCTAGACGTGCTCTCCAGGGACCCGGCTGGCGGCTCCTGACCTTGGGCAGTTCCGTTCATCTGGGAAACCCGATGATGAAGGCGCCCATTTTCACAGGGTTTCCAGAGGACCGGACGGGTCTGTGTTGAGGATTCAATGAGTCCAATTATGCACACAGGACACTGCCTGGCACCCAGGGGAGCTCCGTGGCCTCCGTCCCCTCTCCATCTCAGCATCGCCTGCATGACCGCCGTCTACCCAGCACATAGCAGGTACTCAGTAGACTGGACTGAGTCCAGGCAGGGGAAACAGTGCCGGGTGGTGTCCCAGGTGATGGGAGCCCCAGGGAAAAGGGAAGACCCCCCAGAGGAAGCTTGGAGCTGACCTAGCACCTCGCCACGCCCCTTGGTTCTGGAATGTCACAGTGAGGGGTGCACAGCACCCTCGAGGGGGAGGTCCCCGCTGTGGGCTCAACTTCCCTGTGTTAGTCAGTGTTTTCTGATGGCAGGTGGAGAGAGTGCTGGGTGCCCGCGTTAAAGGCTCTGATCGTAGGAGCTGCGGATTTTGCTAGCAAGAAAGTGACCGGTGGGCTAAAGGATGGCTTGGTGGGGGCGCCTGCCCTATGTCCCCCTGGGGCTCCCGTGACTCGGGAGCTGGGCGCTGGGCGAGTGACGAGGGGACCCCGGGGGCAGCGCGGGCAGCAAGATGGTGGAGCCAGGCCTCCGGGTGAAGGGAGGGTCCGGGTGCCCAGGATGGCCGTCTGGACACTGAGTCAGCACCCCTTGTTGATTCAGGAAGGAGTTCGTGCCCTCGGTAAACGAGCGGCCATCACCCTGGAGGGCAGAGCACGGAGGTCCAAGGCCAAAACCTTTGGCCCCTCCGCCAGGGGCAGGGAGGAAGGAGGGGGAGCTGAGCCAGACGCTGCTGTCTCCAGAAGCTTCAGGAGGCCAGCTCCAGGGGGAGGGGCCCCGAGCCGCATCAGGAGGCCTCTGGGACCCCGCTCGCCCGGGCACCTGACTGCCAGGGAGCAAGGACGCCCCGGAGGGAGGCGTCCCTACTGGTTTATACTTAAACCACCGGAAACGCAAACTGTTGGAGTCAAACACAAGCTTTTCTTTCTGAGCCTTAAAGGATCCAGGTGGATGGGGCTGGTACCACTAGTTCCAGGGCCAGTACTACTAGTTCCATGGCCAGTACTACTAGTTCCATGGCTCGTACTACTAGTTCCACAGCTAGTACCACTAGTTCCACAGCTAGTACCACTAGTTCCACTGCCAGTACCACTAGTTCCACGGCCAGTATTACTAGTTCTACTGCCAGTGCTACTAGTTCCACGGCCAGTACTACTAGTTCCACGGCCAGTACTATTAGTTCCACGGCCAGTACTGCTAGTTCCACGGCCAGTACTACTAGTTCCACAACCAGTACTAGTTCCACAACCAGTACCACTAGTTCCACAACCAGTACTACTAGTTCCACAACCAGTACTACTAGTTCCACGGCCAGTACCACTAGTTCCAAGGCCAGTACCACTGGTAGTGCAGGCAGGTCACTAGTTCGGCACCTGGTGCCTCCGAGGGCTCAGCCACGAATCCAGAACGAAGAGATGAGGTCCCTGGCAGCCGGGGCCGCCTCCCACCGTGGTCTCTGGCTGAACAGTCCTACGGTCTCTCAGACTTTGTGGACCAGGCTCTCGAGAGCTCTCCGGCTTTGACCCCGGAGACCCTCCACGGCCCCCCCATCCCAAAGCCCGGCAGGTCCTCCCTCCCTCCCACGGGACAGTCCGATTCCTCTGCGTCCCCCGACCTAAAACAAAACAGCTTGTTAGCACCCCCTCCCTCGGGTGCCGTGTGAGGCTCAGACCTCTCAAAATCAACGAGGTGTTTAGGAAGGGGACGGTCTGCCCTTCTCTGGTGCCCAGAGCAGGCAAACAAACACCCAGGACGCGGGTCTGTGCCCCAGCCTCACCAGGTCACCTTAGCTAAGGCCCTCAGGGCTTAGGTCTCCAGGGACGGCCCCGACCATGCTTCCCGGGCAGCCTGGCTGCCAGCAGTGCCCCCCGGGGAACTAGTAGTCGTGCTGGCAGTACTAGTAATGCCGTAGGACGACCACTGGCACCTGCCTGGCCAATCGCACTTGGTTTAGAGACATAATGGGACGGTTCTGCCACCGAGAGCCGTGGACCCAAGCCCCCCCTGGGGAGTCCCAGGACCTGTCCTGGGTTTTCGCTGATTTATGCTTAAAATGCGCAAGTCATTTTCTTCTAGCACTTTAAATGTTCCGTGCATTTCTGGGCTTTTTTATCATGAAACACGACAAACACACCCCGAAACAGGCCGCTGCTCCCCACCTCCGGCAGGCGCCAGCCTGTGGATGAGCTTGTTCCCACGAGAGCTCCTTCGCGTGCTCTATTATTATTTTTTGTATGGACACATTTCTAAGTTTTTAAAATATTTGTTTATTTTTGAGAGAGAGAGAGACAGAAACAGAGCATGAGCAGGGCAGTGGCAGAGAGAGAGGGAGACGCAGAACCCAAAGCAGCTCCAGGCTCCGAGCCATCAGCACAGAGCCCGACGTGGGGCTTGAACTCACGTACCGTGAGATCATGGCCGGAGCCCAGTCGGACACTCAACCCATTGAGCCCCCTGGGCGCCTCCATACGTACACTTTTCACCGAGGTCTAATGTTACGGAAGAGCGCACGGGCCGTACATCTACAGCGTGATGAACGTTTGCCTCCCCTTGTACCATTTTGGAGCCGTTTGTCATGTGATTTCATCTATGTCACCCTGCATATACCTTTTTATTGTGGTGAAAAGCACACAGCCTCGGACATACCATCTGCATCAATTTTAAGTCCGGGGCTCCGTAAGTGTTCGGTAACTCACAGGCTTGTGCAACCGATCCCCAGAACTTTCGCATCTTGTGATGCTGAAAAACTTGACTTCAAATCATTTTTATCAGGAGTCGCTGGAGAGCCAAGCTGTCAAGTCTACGTAGAAAAAGAGGTCTGCATTATCGGCCATCCTAGGATAAGCCACCAAGGCCAGAAAGGGACTTGGAGGTCGTGATTTTACACCTGACGCCAGAAAGGCTCTGCAAACAGAGGTCCTGGGGCTCACCCCCTCACCCCTGACACATAGCGATTACGGGGTGGACAGCACGTATTAAGTGAGGTCAGGTCCCGTCTCTGCAGTGGCCCTAGTGCTCGTCATCTTTGCACCTTTGGTCTCACGGCGCTCTGACAGCACATTCTGGGTCTGAAAAACAAAATTGTTTTCACGCATTTCTAAAGGAACACAGAATGTTGCCGGCTTTCAAATTTACCGAAAAGGTCTGACTCCCCCCAGTCTGTGCTTAGCTGGGGGAACGGCTGGGGGTGCGGGGAGGGGAGGGGGCTGTAATTCCGCAACCCGATTCTTTCATTATTATTTACATTCTATGTCCTCTCCTTCAAGAATATTTTTTTGACATTTGCCTTCTGGCAGAGCCGGGGACAGTGAGTGGGAGCCGCAGGGAGGTGGACTTGGCTGCACACAAGGAAGAATGTTCTTAGTCAGAGCTGTCCAAAAATGGAATGGCCTGACTCAGAAGACAGCGTGTCCTCAGCCCGGAGGAGGTCCTGGTGAGGTCCCTTCAGGGGAGCGCCGCCCGGGGCTGGGAGGGCCGTGTGCAGCAGCCAGGGATAACCACACAGTGTGGGCACCTGCTGTGTGCCAGCCCCGTGCCCAGCGCTTCCGTGCGGACGGACTCATTTCATCTTCGAGTGGCCCGATGGGACGGGTACAGTTATCGCCTAGAATCTCCTCCGTCTCACGGATGAGGAAAATGAGACATCCAGAGGCTTCGGGACCTGCCCAAGCGGATGTGGCTGGGAAGCAGCGAGGGGCACAGCCTCAAAGCCAGGCTGGCACGAATCCTTCAGATGTCCATGGGGTTATGTGCCCTGGCTTGGCGACCAGCTGTTGTGTGCTAAAAGGAGCTTGTAAGGTGGTTGAGTCAGCATAAACACTCTGGTAGAAGTCAGGAGGGCTGCTAGATCCCAGAGTCAAGGCCCCATCAGTCAAAAGTAATTGGGGCTGCTCAGGACAGAGGGCACGGGGAATGTTCCGCTCCAGGGCCCAGGCTCCCAGCCTTGGCCTCCACTTCGC